TTATAATAATAATAAATCTTTTTAAAAATATAAATTTTTTAATGTTCCAAAGTAGTCAACGGAGGAATGACGGTATTTGGAATAATTCGTGCATAAAAAAATTAGAGTGGAATAGGCCTACTGGGAAAATCACTATAAAAAAAGCGCACCATGCTATCTATCTCATGACAGGTGGTGTGGAAATGATAGCGTTTTATCATTTTCTTTAGATAGACATTTACTTACAAGTAGCTTCATAATAAAATTACCTCTATCTATCATAAATACTTTTTAAAAATAATAATTTTTTTAAAAAGTTCTGAAAATTACTGCCAACATAGAGTTTCGAAGGGTGAAATCAGGCCTCACATGTGTGAAGCGATTTTCAGCTTTCTCCACTATATCTCGAAAACTATTCGAGATATAAAAAAATGTTTTATACAAAAGTTTTACAATAAAATTACCTCTATTTACTCACGTCAATGATATTTTTTTAGAATAATTATTTAACAATTTTTTTTCGAAAATTTTGACAAAAAATTGGTAAATAATTGTTCTAAAAACGCGAATGAATACAGTTGATTTTGTTGTAAAACTTTTGTATAAAACATTTTTTATATCACAAATATTTTTCGAGATACAACGGAAAAAGCTGAAAACCGCTATATACGTTAGAGATGATTTTACCCTTTCAAACCGTTTTTAGCCGCAACTGATATTTTCTAAATTTATCTCTTTATGTAAGCTATAAGTTCACAAAGTTTCATTAAAATCAGAATTTATCACCTCGAGAGAATTCCCTTGTAAGTCATAATGGAAAAAAAGATGTAAATTATACATACTTTTATTACATCTGCAGGAATATATACTGCAGTCTATAACAGTTGTATCAATAAAATTACAAGATTGTATTTCAGACTCAAATTCACACTGGAAGAAGGTGACAAATTTTTAAACTTTCTTGACGTCGCGTAAATCAATGAAAATTATTTATTTATGATTTGTACAAACCTATCTTCTCAGGACGTTACCTAAATTAATTATTTTTCTCATCATCCTCATTGTCAGAAATTAGATGTAATTCTGAGTCTGGTTGACAAAGTACTATTATTATCAGCTGATCAGAGATTCCATAAAAAGAATTTCGATAATATCATAAAAATATTACTTAGCGGTGGATACCCCTTAAAAATAATTTTTGACAACATCAATAAAAGATTACATAACAAATTTCGACAGTTTTATTAAGAGTCTCAAAAAATTGTCACCAATCATAAGAATAAAAACAATACAGTCAAACCGATGTATTTTACCATTTCATTTCTAAGTAATATTTCTGGAAAGATTGATAAGATTATTAAGAATATTACCACAGTTCGGATAACCTATTCTGGGATGAATAAAATAAGACGTTTCATCAGGATACTCAAAGACACACTGCCTTTAAATTTACATTCTTATGTAATCTACAAAATCAACTGTAAAGACTGCGACGCATCCTACATAGGCTAGACGAACAGAACTTTAATAAGAATAAATGAGCAAAACCACATAAATCGGAATATCACACAACACTTCATAATCACGGATCATAGATTGGATATGTCACATGAATTTGACTGGATAAATACAAAAATATTAGACGAAGAAAAAATTTTTGAAAAAAGACTGATTTCTGAAATGGTACACATATAAAACAACAAAATAATGGACTAAATTTAAGGTGGTTGTATCGCAAAATAACTTTTCATAAGATTTGTTCGAATCTTTTACTATTTGAAGATAATGATATTCTCTATACATACATATCATTTTGAGAGGGAGGGGGGACCAGGCATGTTTAAAAGATAATTGCATTTGAAGTTAGTACTTTTAACACGTGCTAGACAAGAAGTTTTCTGTCCAGACAAGGAGCGACAATACATTTCTAATTATAGCGGAAAAATGGTATTTTAATAGAAATTCGCTCAAAAACTAAAGGACTATAGATAAATATAGGGGGAAGTGTCTCCTATATCGTACCCCCAAACGTTTAAACAAAATTGTAACAAAAGTACTAAAGAGATCCGAATATTTCTGTACTTATGATACTGATACTTAAGGGGTCCGAGACTTTTTGAATACTTTGTGTATATTATATGTATAACGTTTGTGTCAGTTTTACCTTAGTTGACTGGACCGATTCCCGGTCTCACATATACATGTGAATACGTTACAATTCATAAATAATTAAAATAAAATCTTACCGATTATCAACGAGCGAATAGACGTATTTTCATACTTTATCGCTCCATGGTTCGGTCCCTAGGCATTTTTGGACTTTGTGCCCATTGAGACATTTGTTCAAGACAGTAAGGAGGATAACATACTAAATTTTCAAACAATTTCACCGAGAGCCAAAATTCATAAGGTTGGTGCGGGATTCTTTGAGAACATTCTTCACAAATTCGTGTAACTTTTGATATAACTGTTATTAAGATTATATATGAGTTACGTGTTTCAGACGTATTTGTGTTTGCTGGGATATTCTTTTTTAAGCAACTATGTGTTTTCTCGGATGTGCTGTGCAAATTACTGCGCAAACTCTTTTCGGTGATTATTGAATTTCATTAGGATACTTTCGGCAAATACACCGTGCTGGGATTTACGCCGCAGAAGTCAGAAAAATAAAAAAATAGAAGGAGTGGGATTAATTTTCCTGCAATTACTATGTTACATGCCTTTATGTTATATTAGTATTGTGTTATGATTTCAGTTTCTTACTATAATATTAATTTAATATTAATATTAATTTACTGTAATAATAATATTAATTAAATTATTGTGAGTTGAATCGATTTGTCACTGTAATAAGTAACGCCATCATAAATTATAATCTACATAAAATAATTACTGTAGGGCGTGTAAAAGTCTTAATGGTTATTTCGTGATACATATTACTTAACAAAATTACCTTTTTAAAAAAAAGGTAAAAAGAAGGCGCCAAGTGTGCATGTACCTTCCATAAAAAACTGTACTTTATATAAACTAAAAAAAAAACCGTTACATAAATAATATAGTTCAAGTGATAATATTGTTAATTTTTTATTATAAATTACCCCTCAGTAGTACATATGCATGTATTTAAAAAAAATGAAATCAAATCTTTAAATTACGCCAATTACAAAAAGAATATATAATTTCTTGCAATATATAACATATACTATTGTACTGGGGAGTCCCCAGTCGATTGGCAGATCGCGCCGAGGACGGACATGTAATGTCACATTTTAAGAATTTTGGGTTGCAAAGTAAGTTTTTTTCGTAAGTTTTATGCATTTTTTATGTTTTTTTATACGTATAATTTTTTTCATTATGCAATAGTTTTGTGTGCACATTTGATTTTATTATTCTGTAAGCAACTTTTTCTGTTATATTATATTTTATACATTATTTAGAAGATTATCGTGGAAAAGGTTAGGTGGTTTACAATGAAATATTTTTACGTAGTGAATAATGATCCATGGTATATTGTAGATCACATAACCTTTTTTACGATAACTTTCAAAATAATAGTTCATTGTAATAATTATTTAGAATACGACCCCTCCCTCCACCTAAAATCTCAATAAAAATATACTCATTTGACGCGTTTTCACTTAAAACGAAAGAAAAACGCGGTAGTCAGCCTTGTGAATCTTCGCCACCTTATAATTATCTATTAAAATCTATTTTATGAATAAACATTTTAAAATATAGCAAAACTAAAATAATCCTAACAATTCGCAGTATAAAACATGTAGTTCGCATTGTTAAAAATAGCATGGTTCATTGTGTAACACTCCTTGGAAGGATCATATAGATAATATTATATACACAATATTATATACATATTATATTTATTACGGCACAGTACATGTATGAAAAGTACATGCACTAACATACTAGTGATATATGTATATTCAAATGTATATATCTAAATGAAAATATCTTAAATATATAACTTACAATAAAACTGTAAAGAATAATGGTAATCATGATGGATAATACTATATATGTACTGTTAACTCTATGTAATATCAAGTTTAACTTAATAGTTACCACGCACTACTCGATCCTACTCAATATTGTTATTTTATACTTTTAATGGTTAAATTTGAAACTATATAGTGTCAAATTTAACTATTGTTTTAGTATAAAGTAATATTGAGACATATTGAGTAGGAGCAGTGGCGACTTAAATTAGTTTAAATTTGACATTATAGATGTAACAGTGTGGGTAACAAATCAGCGAGATCTGTACAATCGGATGGAGATTCTTGTTTTTGATTATCACGATATAATCAACCTCGTTTATGGCGACAAGTAATTTTATTGATTGGTAAAGTTGCACGAATCTTCTGAAGATTTCGAAGATTTACCGCTTCCTCATTCGTTTTTACGAAATCTGAGACAGCCTCAGACTATATTGATGTCCTGTTGTCATTCGATCATCTTAAAGAGTGCGCAGGAGAATATCATTCCAAAGAACTGCAATGTTTCAAGAATTAAAATATAACATTACTAAATATGAATGAAAGATAGAAGAAATGAAAAAAAGTATTTACTTGAATACAATGTGCTCAAGAATTCTAGTTATACGATTTTAAAAAAGAAAAAAGAGTTATACAAATTTGTTATACAAAAATGTTATACAAATTTTAAAATTAATTCGATTGTAAAAGAAATACTTGTTTAGGCTTAATAGACTTTATAACGTTGAGGCTTTAATTTTAATTGGAGAAAATACCAAAGTAAAAAATGTAAACTGCTTTCTTACCATGAGACATGCAACTGCAATACCAGCAGCACCCACAACGGTTGCGTGTTGTTGCATGTAGACTCGTGTTCCATTGATACAACCCTCTACGTAAGCATTGGAAGGATTTATCGAATCCGGGCTATGATTGCAGTTGAATCGCTACGAGCAGATCAAACGACCATGAGAAACGCAGTTCCTCTCTCGCGAGAAAGTCGATCGGAGGAGTGAAAGTGTGAGAGGTGTAGATCGAGGCGGTGAAGATTCGATCGATTAAGTAATAGTGGCCAAATTGACTCGAGCAAGCGAAATCGATGGGTCGCGTGAAGAATCACTTATTGTTAGACGCGAATAATTATTCACGTCAAATTGCAATCTCGAGTCTTCAATGCGTTTTTTTGAAAAGTCGTCACCAGATGTATTGAGGAAAATTCCATTTTTTAGAAAAACTAGAATCTTATCTTCAAATTAATTGACTTCGATTAAAGTGAACATTATTAAGCAATGAAAATATGTTTGTGACACGCTTTATAAACACGACACATGTTATATTGTGAGATACGTGCATGCAAATTGCTGTTATTAAGTACGAATGTAATTGGCTGACAAACTATTTCATCGAATGGCGCAATTGCATTAAAACATAATGTAACAATTACATAATAAGCTGTTATGAATAGCTATTCAATATATACATATATATATATGTATATATATTGAATAGCTATTCATAAATATATAAAGAAAATCATGTATAAAGAAAAATAGACTACTTGAGCTAAACTAGTTGCTAGTTGTTATTATTATTCAACGTCCAGTATAAAATAACTACACATAAATTTTTTCAATCATTTCAACTTGAAACGTTTGAATTTATGCGTAATTATTTTATACTACGACGAAGTTGAATAATAATAGCGATTGACAACTGGCTTGGCTCAAATAGTTCATTTCTTCTTTATATTAAAATATAATTTATTTTTACCTGGCCAGGTGAAATTTCTCGACAGCAACTATCTGGCACGTTGAGGCCGTAAGTTCCCCAGTCCCTCCAGTTGTTAACTCCGCAACAATGGAGCTAAAGTCGAGAATTGAATTAGCTTCGGAAAGTCCAAACAATAATTGGATATGGAGAAAATAAAACGCGCTCGGAATCGTGCCTCTCGAGTTTCATCGTCTGATAAAATTAATTTTTATTTACGTAATGTGTGCGCGGGAATATTTACCGTCGATTGCGTGGTGTCCCAAGCATCGCGAATGGATTTACGATGATCGTAAAGCCGCAACGAACTCTTCATCTCTCTGTCGACCGTACTCAGCAATTTTTCGCGGAAAATGTATCCCAGAACGCCGCCGATGAGCATAGTTACAAACAGCAAGAATACGATTATGAAGTACTGAAAAAAACAATAGATTTTATTAATCCTCCGAATCGATAGCCTTTATCTTAACAAGTTTCAACGACTTGATGAGCTTCAAAAGTATAATAAGATCTCAATGTTTAATCAATTCAAGATAAGCTTTTCTTCCGGAAAGATTAAATTCGTTCACAGTCGCCAAATGATGTGAAGGCTGGAAATCGAGACGCTTGTCGATTGAAACATTCTCCCGGTTCGAAAATAGATTTGGTACTTACTGTCAGGAGCATACACTTGACTTCCCGTGATGCACCGATACATCCGAAGAAGGCGATAAAAGCCACGACGATTCCGCCGACCAATAAAACATAAACTGCACCGGTTAACAGATCGTTTCCCACGAGTTCGCCTATCCATGGTACTTTGTCAACCAAGGCCCAAATGCCTAAACCCGTTACGATAAGTCCGCCAATCTGCAGCATAAATCAATAGTAAATTTAATTGTTTTTATATATCAATGCACAGTGGACAAAATAATAGGAACACTTTGGAATTATATTATTTATTTGGCTATTTGTTTTATTAATAAAAGGTTGGCACATTATTTGTTTTAACATTCTATCTTTGTTGAAATAGTCATTTAATAATATAATAATGCTTGAGGTACCAATGGAGAATGTTTGTTTTTTTTTGTATTATTTAGTATAATTTTTTTAGTAGAACACCTTTTTTGCTATGAATGATATTGGAGGAGAAAATCTTCTTACTCTATTTTTCAGAATCGTCTGAAAATTCAACATCTTTCCTAGCTAATGCAATTGCCTGATTTAAATATCGTCTGTAGTTTTGAAGAGCAGAATAAGAAACAAATTTCTTTTTTTAATATATTTTACGTAATTAGAAGATGCTTTGTTAGAAGAATATGATATAGTATTGCACTGTGCAGTTGCTACAATATTCAAGTATTTACGATTCTATTCCAGCAAGGATAGAATCTGTATTAAATACAAATAGTAGGCTAATTTTTTATTAATAAAACAAGTAAATAGTATATATTTTCTAGTAGATAGTATATTTTCTATTTTCACATTATTTTGTTTATCTCTTGTATATTACAGCTTCAGCAAAGTCATTTGGGACTAGAACTTACAAAGATGACGAAGTTCGTGAAGAACAGGGAATATTTCATGAAACGTCCGCAGCCATCCATTTCCGTGCCGTATCCCATTCCCTTTTATCTGCGAAACTCTGTTAACAGAGAAATAAAAACTGTTATTATTTTAAATAAAATGAACAATAAAACATGAGAACATTAAAAAGACAAAAGCGCTGTAACTTGCAAATATTTTCAGCCTTTTCTTAACAGTTAATGACATTGTAATATATTTTGTGTGACGTATTGAGAATTTGAATCACGTTTAACTAAAATAAATGGCTCTTTTTCCTATTAAAATTTACTGTAAAATGCAATTTTAGTCTTATTCTTAGTTTAATTTATCTTTCTTTCTTTGCCTTCATCCATTACATTATTTTGTCTCTTTTTTCTTGCGTTGTAAATACAATGACATTGAGAGGCCCGAAGATCACGAGTTTTAACGAATATAATTAGACAATTTTTTACAACAGTCACGTACGTCGCTTAATTATATGATACGTCTCAGTGACATCAGACTTATATTTGACCTAGTTTGAAGTACCCTGGCCGTCCACCATAGCCTTGACCATATCCATAGGCGCGACAACCTCATCATGGTTATTGAAGACTCGGAAGATGAAACTCATATAACGCGATAAAAACGAATTTCTTAATCGCATAATTCGTGAAGCAAACTTACTTTATTTGATTAATTAATCAGATACAAATAGAGTAAAGAAGTATCCGTATTCAGTCAAAGCAGGATGTCTAACAATATTTTTATTTGAATTTGTAGAATTTCCAATTTAAGCAAATTACAAATTGTAAAAATTTACACAAAAATACTAAACATCAATACAGAAAAATAGGCTTGTGTACATGCAACGCAATATAATTAATAAGTCGAAGCTTTTTTAAACGAGCAATTATAGTTATTGATAAAATAAAAATCGTTTTTTAATTAAATAAGTGCTATGCTATAAAGTTTTTCATGAAACTTAATTTATTAATTATATTAAGCATCAAGCCCTGCTTTGACCAAAATATAGTCTTCTTCGTTTATTTGTATTGAATATTTCTCGGTTAATTTTCACTTACTATTGTTTAATAAACAAATTAATAATTTATTAATAAATTTCAGAAAGGTATATATTACTCTTATTTCAATTAAGTATACAAATTATTCATTTTATCATTATTCATTTAATTGCATTTCTCACGAATTAGGCTAAAATTTCATCTAATTAAGTGGTCTTTTTTTCGTTTCCCCATCCCGCAATAATTCATACGTAGTAGAATCCGGTGTCCTAATAACTATTAATGAGGCTAATGAGACGAGAGTCAGAATAGGTGTTCGTGATCAATGTGAATTTTTACGGCTCGGGAAGCAGAGTCGGCGACTTCCTGTTTTGAAAATACTGCGCACATGATTCAATTGCACACTATTGTTTGTCGAATGCGTAACAGCGTCGTGCGGCGATCTTTATCTCGGTAAATCGTCGAATCGAGAGGAAACGTACACGTTTTCACATAGCGAAATCCTGTTTCTGGAGAACACGTTCACCTGTTCGGACGTGCACATTGCACTTTACGCAGGGTCTACGATCAATGACGCAATGCGGACCCGTAGAATGGCTTTGCGCGCGTTGATCGCTATCACTTCGTATAATATCGCATACCGCGCCCACATAAGGTTGCGTGTTTTGTAACGCGTTGTACGGACTTCGGTCACGCATCGGTATACCACCTCGAAAACACCGAGTTACCGAGAGACCGAGAGAGAAAGTGGCTTCTCTGCCTGCGCATTAAGTAATCCACGGTCAGAGCGAAGCGTTAAAAAATGACGCGACGATTATGCTCGCACTTGCAATCCCCGTATCTCGCAAGTAACGCGGTTTTTCGTCTTATCTTGCGAAAGGCTTAGATCACTTTTCTTAATGTTAATCGCATGCGTTTGATTACTCTTCATTTCCGCGAAGAAATGAACACGGAAAAAAAAAGATTATATGTCGTTCAGCAAAGCTATAGAACTTGCTGCGCAATTTCAACATCTACAACTAATTGCAAGAAGATGTAATGGTTCAATTATATTTTTAAGCAATTATTAGTGTGTTAATTCGTCTAATTCTTTCCTACAATGAAAAAATTGCCAATGTAATAAGTTATTTTCATTATAGTAACAAAAATACACGTCATCTTAGCTAACAGGTTTTGTTAAAAATTTTAATCTATATATTGAATTAATTTTCATAGAAAGTTATCTTTGTTGTATCAACAAATTTACTGTAGGGGAGATCGAGGCCAACTGTCACAGTTTTTGATTATTGATTTTTAGAAAAAAGTGGATGCCTGATTTTGAAATATTATAATGTTACAATATACCTACATCCTTTAGGTATTAAAAAAAAATATTACTCGTGAATTCATTATATATCATAAAAATAAGTTATTTAATTTTAAATAATGCTGCGAAAATATGACAATTAACACCGTCTGGGTTGATTGTCACACGTTCTAGGATTGGCAGTAGCATATTTGTTATGGACAACACATATAAAAAACACAATTTTTATTTTAATATCAGTTCTATATTTTGAGAAATAATAGTAATTATAGTATTAATATAAATAAAATAATTATTTTAATATAATCATAAAATGCATAATTTGTTTTTGTACCATAGTTTCTATATGAAAAATGAAAAAATATATATCTATATGAAATATAATATATTTGTAAGTATATTCTCTGAAAATGTGTCCTCTAAAGATATTAAAATTAATTGTCACCTAATCTCGTCTCGTTTTGGTTAATCTACCCCACATAGCCATTTTTAATAAAAGAGATTGTATTCACAAACTTAGAATAATGATTACTTAATTTTATATAATAATGATTAATTGTAGCAAAGATCTTCTAAGATATGTCATTTTCTATGAATACAGGGATATTACGATTAATAATGCCAAAAACTTGTCAGACAACAAAATAGGTGATTATAAAATTTACTCACCAACTTCATTTTCTCAAAAATCGCTATAAATAATATATACAATGTTTATGGTGCAAACCATTTTACACAACAAATTAATATTATATCAGCTATCTACTCAAAAAAAGAGATTTTTCTGCCGTGTCTTGTTTGAGTTATAAGTATTTTGACAATCAACCCCGTACGACAACCAGCCCCGGTCTCCTCTACTATTATAACAAATATGATTACCTATAATGGCTAATTTTATTCAGCTGTGCAACTTTACTTAACGTAGAAAATCGGCTGTTGGTATATCACAGCTGTAGATTTACTGTGTGAATCAATAGAATTTTTAATTGTTTCAACAAATTTTTTTTCGTGAATTCATAAGTGAATCCCTCTCCATCCGGCTTTCCTTTCTCTAACATTGAATTTCTGACCATCAATCTCGCGGCATCGCGTCACTTTTAAAATAGTCATCGTAGAAAAGAAAGGCTGAGAAAGAATAATGCATTGTTAATCAGTCTCGAAGTCAAATAAGTTTTTCAGAGCCACTTTGATATCTATCTAAGATACGAGAAGCAATAAAAGGTGACTCAGTCTGGAATACCTTGCGCGCAAAGGCTACGTGCTTGTGAAATGAATTCGCAGCTGGCGCCGCGGAATTATAAGAACTCTGCTGGATTAGTCTTAGGAAAACTGCACGCCTACGATAACGCTCATTAATAAATCATTCGATCTCGGCAAAGTAGTACATACGCGAGCTCTTCAATTAAAATCTTCTTACATCATCAGCTAAAACCGCGTCGTAGTTATTCAGCAGAATGCTAACACATGTTTGCTCTGTTATGTTATACATCAAGCAATATCATCTTTTTCTCAAAGCGATAGACATTCATTTACTTATTAATCGAAGTTGACAATGTATTTATTGGAACCAACGACATATATATACAGACCAAGCATTCTGTGAAGCCGGATTAAGACCCATGGTGTCTCTTTCTATTTTGATGAGAGCAGTGCGAAAGAGTGAAATAGCACGGGTCCTAAAACATCACGTAAACTGTCAATTTCCAGCTTCAACTCCCACCACTGAAAAACATAGGAATGCTTGGTCTATGTATATATGATTGAAATTACCAATTATAAAGAAAAAATAGAGCAAGCTCGTTAATTTACAAAAGCAGAGGAAAGTCGCCGATACTGACATAGGTCTCCTAAAGTGACACCCCCTTATTTCTCAGAAACTAACTATTGCACTTTATTAATACTAATAAAATCATGATCTGTTTAGCTAATTAAAGAAGTACAAACTCATAATTAGACTGCGGAACTTTATGCAAAATACTTAACTTAATGTTTTGCATAAAATGCATATTTTGCAATTTTGTAAATTTACAGATGGCAATCTCAATCTTTTTACTTCACCTTTTAATAACTCTTTAACGAACAACGATTGACTGCTAAAACTGTTCGATAGTTAATATTCAGTTAAGTATTTTGCATAAAGTTCCGCAGTCTACTCATAATTCATATATTTGTGGCTTATTTCTATACTAAATCAGCTAAAAACCAATTCTACGAATCCGAGAAGAAAATTCTTACGGTGTTCTTTTGCAAATTGCGTAATTAAAATAATAGTGACTGTATTATTGATAATATTATGTCATTTTAAATGTTTATAGTTTCATAAATTAGTTTTCTTTACAGAATAGGATATATCTTTATTTATAAAATAGGAATGTTGGTATTATTGCCTACTATGTCAGTTTTGGAGCACATTTTGTCAGACGCTCATTTTTGCATAACTTACGAAAAACGTAATTATTGCAAACAGTATTATAAAAATTGCTTATACTATCTGATACAAGACACTTTTTACTTTTATTTGTGTTTTTGAAGTTGTATTTTTACCTTTTGTTTAAGAAATATTGTCTAAAAACAAAGTGGTATGTCGGTATCGGTGACCTTCCTCTATTAAATAGAAACGATCAAAAACTTGCAAATTGGGTTGTTAGAATAATACATTAACTTTTTATTTCTTAAGAGAATATTAAAAAATGAAAACGTTTTAACTAACATGATGTCTTCTTCAGTTAGAAAATTCCTAATAAGAAAAAAGATAAGATAGTGCAATTGTAAATGTTAAAATTAATAATGTTCGAATGTAAGAGGTCGAAACTATACTAACAATCCAATTTAACATATTAAATAATAAAGTATAAATTGTAAATTGTAATCACTACGTCAACTTAATAAATAACAAAGAAACGTTAAATTATAAAGATTCTTCTATTAATAACAAATTCTCTCTCATCGTTAAGATTTCTTATTCAATTATATTATACTCTATATGTTATATCTGCATTTTAATTATTGTTATTAATATAATAAAATGAATTTAATTAATAATTAGTAATCATTCTTTTTTATACGAGTTATATTATATATATTTTATTCTAGTTCTTGAAATTACTTAGTGCTTTTTGAGTAACATAAATTAAATGGGTCAGCTCCGGAATATAAAGATGTCTTTTCATGATAATGCTCAACGCTCATTTTCAGCATCAAAGGATATGTGACGCTACAAATGCTTTAAAACATTCTTCGATTGTCAATTCAAATTTTTTCTTCTTTGACATTTCAACATTGTATGTTAAATACTGCAGAGATTTTGCAGCGACATTGCTGCAAATTCTGTGCTGTATGGGTAGAATACATGACAAAATTAATGCTAGATAATAAAAATGCATGAAAAGACTGCACCTAATGTATATGTAGCTTTCATAAAAAATCTTGAATCAAATTGAATAAATCCGAATTGAACTTCCAGTATCAGACTCTAGTGTCAAATTTAAAACCAGGTAGCAAGCTGTCGTTATTTTGACGTAGTTAGTAATTTTAGTAGTTAGTAATTTTAAATTATTGATGATGTCATGTTACCTATTTAAATAAAAGAAATTAAAATAAGAATAGCTACGAGCCAAAACAAACAAATTTAAATGTACATATAATAACGTTGACATTAAACATAAAAATAAAACAAAATAAAAATATATGCCTACCTAAAACTAACGTTTCGATAACCTTCGGGTCATTATCAAATTTCTAAACTAAATTACCTATTTAAGATGTAATAATGGCGTCATTTATATATCTTACGACGTATTTACAACGTCATACCTGTTAACGTATAGATGACCAATCTCGACGACGTATTAGTAAAGTTATTAGTCATCAACTAATAATGTCATTCATTTATGCTACTAATGTCGGTTCATAATGTTATGTGGCTGTGACAAATCCACGTTAGTTTACGATTTTGACGTCATCTTAAACGTTAGATGCGTCAGATTAGTCATAAGAATGACTAATTAATGACGTCAAATAGATGATATCTTCCCAAGAAACACATAAAAGTCAATAAAAAGTTAAAATGCCTTTATTTTTTATTAATTAACATTAATGAACAGTACAACCAAATTTCATAACTAAAAATCATCATTTTGATTTTCGTGACATTAAAATAAAATCAATTTTAACTTCCTCTTGACTTGGTGTGTTCTTTAGGTTACTATCCAGGCACGTGATCACACTGACATTGCTTTTTCAATTTCATTTTTTGTCTTATGAAATGGCATTTTTGAGCGTACGACATTACAATGTAATCTCAGACGATTCTACGGTCGTCGATTCCGTGTTGAAGAAACGGAAATGCGTATATAAATCTACTCTCTCAGAATTATTTTCAGAATCTCGTCTTAATGTTAGTCTTCGGGAGATGTTTGATGATATAATCACGTCTTCCTCGCGTGCGAAAGGCCCAGCATCCGCTCGTCTCAATCGCGCGTTTATCCGCGTGATGCGAGCAAGCAGAACGTTTTTTTTTCCTTGCGCTAAAAATAAACGCGCACACCTGTGAACAATCTTGTTCACTGATGGTTCGAGAAGAAACGGCGTGAGCGGGAGAAGAAATTCTGAGTAGGTAGAAGCCGGAGCCTGAGGTGCGGCCCTTCAATGAATCGAAAGTTAAATCTCGGCCCGAGGTCATGGCGGCTTTATTCCTTCAGATAATATTTTCCAGATAGTACTTTCAAGTAGCACGATCCCTATTTAGTTAACCCGTTTTATAATCTCTGTCGATCCGTGCTTCCTCCACAAGCTAACGCGACACGTGCAATCGGAGCGCGTTCCAACGCGACGCCGCGCCATCGCGTATTGTTGCTCATGCGATTTACAAACGTCCCGTCATCACGCAAATTCACGGTAGTTTTCATAAACACCATAATATGTCGAGGGGAGAATCGATAATATCGGCTTGCGACCGTGTAACGACCTCCGTGTGGAATCTAGCGTGGCATTTTGAAGTCGCGTGGAAACTCGTCAAGTGATTTCAATGCGCTCCCGCGAAGTTATTTATGCGGAACGAAATATCGCACGCTTTCCCGCGAGATTCTTCGTCGCATTGATTAGACATTTCAAAATGCTTAATGCTTAATGATCAAATCGTACTTGGAATATCCGATTAATAAGGAAGCCTCTTAAAAGTTGAAGCATTATGCAAATATTGAGTGACTCTTGTGTGGGAAAACGTTATAATTTTATAATTAATGAATTTTCTCGATTTTTTTGTCGGAACATTTAGAGGGATATTAATATTTATTCATTTAATTCGTAATGTAATAATATGTAAAAAAAGTCCAAAAGTTTCTGGAACAAAGAGATAAAAAGTGATAAAATGAAACAATTGCACATTTTTATTATTCAATAAATTACTTTTTATTTATCACTACGTTTTTTAGAGCAATCAATTAAATTTTTCTATATTATTAAAAAAATATTCTGAATTTTTATTCTTAAAATAGTTTTAATTGAAGGGATTACTTCTTCATTATTGATTAATTTTTCTATAAAAATAATTTATAAGATTGAAGTTCGATTTGACAAAAAGATAGGGTAACTTCGGTATATACGTCGCACTTATCAAAAACTTAATATTTATTAAGTATTATTTATTATGTTTAAAGTAAATGAACTATATCAGTAAAAACTTTGTACTGTCTACTATTATGAAAAAAATATTAAAAATCCGAAATATTTATATTTCGTATTAAAAAATGAACTTTTTTAAACCCTTGCATTTTTGCCGTATATCCCATAGGGGTGGGATATATGGCTACTCATAGGGGGAGAGGGGATATGTATGGCTCATGAAAATTTTATAAATAATAGATGTAAATAAGACGTAAAATGATATAATAACTTATAAAATGTGTTTATAAAGTTGTATTAAGGAATAAAAATGATATAAATATGTATATGAAATAATAAATAATAATTACAATCTTCCCAGATGTATTACAAGTGTTATGACATGAGGTACATATTTCACGTAATGCATTTATTGTATTTAGTGCACTGAATTCAATCTGCGCACTTTGTATACTTTGGACATAAATCCCGTCTGTTAAAAATATCATATATTACAAACAGGTGGGATATACAAGACAACAAACTAAACAAAGAATACAAGAGCAAAGTATTTGTATTTTGTTATACAACATACTTTATTATTCCTCTACACTCATGTATCACGAAATAATCACTAAGTTTTTTGCACGTCCTACAATAATCGTTTTATGTAGATTATAATTTATGATGGTGCTACTTAACATAGTGACAAATCGATTCAACTCATAATAATTTCATTAATATTAACAGTAAGAAACTGAAAAATCATAACACAATACTAATATAACATAAAGGCATGTAACAGAGTAGCTGTGGGAAAATTACCCCTACTCCTTTCATTTTTTCTTATTTCTGCGGCGTAAATCCCAGCGCGGCGTATTTGCCGGAGTTACCCTAATTTATTTAATGATTAAGAAAAATAAGCTCCACAGTGTTAAATCAATTTTAAAGACAAAAATTCAGAATATTTTCTTAGCATAGAAAAATTAATTCATCATTTTAACAAATGTATTGAAATAAAGGATGATTATAAGAGAATGTTTTTGAGAAATATTTTTAAAAGACGTGGTTCTTTTATTTCATCACTTTTTTTTTATAGGTCAGAAATTTGTTGATCCTATTATGCACTGCTGTAAAATTGAAGATTTATTTTTATAGTTCAATCAAACGCGTAATATCTCTGATAGAAAGTTCTTTTTTATTATTATAATTATTTGTCTTTTAGAAAAAACTCCAAACAAATTAACAGAAGTTTAAAAAATAAAAATGTTTTTCTTATATAAAAATTGAATTATACAATGATAACAAGTCAAGAAGGAACACGGTAATTTAATTATCTTGAATTGAATTGCAAAATTCATAAGTTAACAATAGTCGAAACTAGCTTCTTAAACAACTAGTTTATTATTTTCGCATTAATACGAAATGATATGAAGACTACTTGAGGACATTAACGCGATGAAACTTGGCGGTAAACTTGCAATTACTGACGCAGTCAGCAACTTTCTCGTTTATTAGTCACCGAGTTCGTTCTGGGTGTAAATTAAATTAACATACTAATAAAGAAAGTTTCCATTGTTGTCCTCGTCTTTGGCTACTTTACGAATTGATATTATTTAACAAACGTGGGCGTAAGTTAATTCACATACATTTCCTCAATGAACCAAATGATATCTAATTACATTTCCTTTCTGATTCACATCTTTAGTACAATGTTATGATAAAATCGTCCATTGAGTTAAATAAGTTTAACTTAGAAGTTATTTTAAAAATTAAATAAGTTAGATTTTGCGTATGTTTACCGGCGACTTTATTTATATCGATATTAATACCAATTCCAAAGATTAAGTATTCACAGAAGAAGTTCCCGGAAAAAGGAAGAATGAATGTTTTCGACTGAAACAAGAAATCACCGAACAAAAAGTCGAATTGATATGATTCATATATTTAACAACCGCGCGTCAAATGGCGGTTCATCGATGAATCACCGCAACTTTAGCGTCTTTGCTCCAAACTTCCTCGTCTCTCGAAATGCGAAGTTCTCGTGAGAATCACACGAGTATCCTCTAATGCCGATTGATTGCTTAATATCTTTACTCACACGCTGATCCCTGGCCGGGTCCCTTTCTCTCCAGCCGGCGGCAATTACGGGAAATGAAAAAACAAACGATTCCTTTCTCCCGCTTGGAGAGCCTTCCTCGTCTCGAAGGAAAATACTGAGACGATGAGTCGCTTATGTTTCGGGAAAAATATATAGATCTCGTGATGTTGAATCTAATGTCACGTTACCGATTAGAGAATTCGGCAACCGAGGCACCGAGTTGCACGCATGCGTTTTCAGACTAAACCGGAGTGAAACTGAAACGTTAAGACTGAGTGAACTTATGCCTCGCTCGCACTCTCTCTTTCGATCTCCGTCCTTCTGTTTCCCTCCTGTTTCTTCTCCCTTCCCCTGCCAGTTCTCGTAGTAGAGACACAATATGTCTCTTCGTTCCTCTCTCTTCTCCTCTCTCTTTCTCATGTAGTCATCGCTTACTATACCACACATTGCACGTTGCGTATACGCGTTACTACCATCGTGATCTAACTATAGTGCAAGCCATTGTGCACGAGCCGGTCTGCCGGTGTGCACGAGGAAAACACACGATGGGGGCCAACGAAAGTGGGGAACCATTGGCACATATGCACTGGTATCGTACACAGTATGATGTATATACGCACGATAATCCACACATACGCACATACTACGGAACACGGAGAACCGCTTCTCGGGAACTCCTGCTCCACAAGGCCCCACTTTCGGATAGGAATGTGAATGTGATAATCAAACTGTTGCCTGCAAAAGGCGATCTGTTGATTTAATGTTACCTTGGTAATTAATACAAGAAATTAACGATTTTTACTTTGTTAAGATGAATGCGGTCCAACACTTTCGTTACGCGAAATTTCAATCGTCACGTGGGGGCTTTTACTTGATAATTAATATGCCAAACGACGAAATTAATACAGAAAAAAAGTAATAATTTTTTAAATGTTTATATATACATACTCTCTAATGGTGAATTTGATTGGAAGAATTAGTGCGCATTGGTGCACACTAAAAAGCCGTTGTACACTGATTTAATTTGAGTATAAAAGTGAAATGCAAATATTTTGAATTATAAAATGCTTATTTTATCTAATAGTACAATAAAATATATTAAATGTATAAAAGTATTTCAAGATTTAATCGATTTCTATGTTTATGTATAAACATATTTTTACGTTATTTTATGTACGACGGCTTTAATCCTATAAGGGCAAAATATTCCTAGAAATGTTATATGGATATTATTAAAAAATTATAATAAGTTATTATAATATTTCGAGAATACCATATAATATTTTTTAATATTATATGGGAGTATTCTATAGAAGTATCCACTTATATAATACCTTAGGTATTATATCTTAATATTCCTGAAATATTATTAAAATATTTATAAATATTAATTATTCTTAATTTAGTGCAATTTGTATTCACAGTCCAGTAACGAAAAGTTCTTATCAGTTTATGCTGAATTTTATGCTAAAAAATTGTTTTGGCGTGATTTTAAGTACATATCTAGTTCTACAATTGCGCGCTAAAATTATTTTCAGCCTTTAAACGTATATTTATACTAAACAAATGTAGCAATTTTACAAATTAAAGTAAATTTTGTTATAATACTTTTTAATGTTTATACAATATTCCAGTAACGTTAAATAATGTTACTTTTAATAATCATACAATATTATCAGGAGTGGACGTATAACTTCCCATTAATATTTCGAGAATATTATTTAATATTATATAATTTTAGTACAATATTCTTAAAATGTTACATTTAATATTCTAAGAATATGCTTAAAATATTACTTAATATTAAATAATATTATGCGCTTACAGGGAATGTGCATCAATGCGCACTGAGTGCGTCCAATCGAATTTGTTATAAGTTCTTTAGAGTGTAATTTTAATCCAAAGAGAGAAAATTGAGTCAGTCTTAAAAAAGAATGGCTGAATTTTCAATCTTTAAGAATGAGATTTCACTCTTTAAAATGACAATTTACTCTAAAAGTTTTAAAAAGTTTTTTACTTAATACACAGATGATTTTCCGATTCTTTGCTACATGATAGGTCGTTCTTGTCCCGGTTAATTTTCATCATTTTAATAAATATACAAAAATTATTAAGTGATTTTTATATATACTTTAATATCTTTAAAAAGTATTTATTTAAAGTTGCTGTGTTATTTAAAAATTATATATAAATGTTATAATTAATTACTTAATGCGTCTGGTTTTTCGAAGAAAGAACTGTGCAAAACACATGTGTACTAATGATTAATTATTTTCTAATTATTACTCTAATATCACAAAATAATCCTAATAAATTAATTACCTAACTGAATTACTTTAAAGCGACTGTTAGCGACTTAAATTTAGCTTGCTAACTAAACGCCTTCACTTCTTTATCATCTCGTTGAACGAGACAGATAGAAAACAAAAAAGGAGACGCTAGAGCAACCAATCGCTGAGCAGAACTTTGTAGTATCTCTTTGTTTTCTCTCTGTCTCGCTCAACGACGCAATGGAGAAGGGAAGCATTTAGCTCGAAAGTTAAAGGCCGCAGCACAAACTCTTGCATAACGCATAATGCATAGTGCATAAGAGAATCAACCAATCGAAATTCTTCTTTTCCATGGAATGAGAGGGAAGGAAAACTTCTGATTAGTTGATTCACTTATACACTATGCGTTATGCGTTATGCAAAAGTCTGTGCTGCGGCCATAAGTTTGGACAAGCATGCTGAGTTTAAATTAAACGAAAAAAAGAACCTAATGTAAATTATTCTTTTGCGAATTTATAATTGCTGTTTTTTTTTAAATCAGTATTGAGTATATATCTTATATATATATATATATGTACATATATTCTTCTCTCTCTCTCTCCTATCTTTTCATTTATATTTTTAAAAATGTTTACGACATTGTAGAATTTTGTATGAATTAAAAATATATAATGTTAAACCACCAAAATGTTATGTAACTCACTGTAGGTCGTAATTTACATGCATATCACAAATATTCGTCATCTTCAAAATTAGTACGCATTCGAGGGCAGTAATTTCAAAGTTTGTTTAGCGACTGCTCCACCCAGGTAATAACCGTTGATTCTAATTGAAGCAATCATCATTCAAGAGTTTTCAAGTGTTTTAGTCAATTCACCGTAATATCCCGAGATAATTTCCAGATTATTTTTTCTGGAAATGGTACTTGTAACATAAATCGCCAAATTATTTCTGTTATTATAGATATATGTATTTGACTTGCAAAAAGAGAATTAATTGTATTCATACAAATTATTTTAAATTATCTTAAAAATATTTTCATAATACGTCAAAACATAAAAAATTAATAATTATAATTTCGAAATGTAATTATATATATTTAATTTATTATTAAAATTGAGAAAAAAATTATACGTTTAATTTATCAATATAAATATAAATCTTATAAAATAATATCATTGTAAAAAAAAAAACTTTAAATATTTATAATCAAAGTAATTTATACAGGGTATTTGATAAGTAATGATAAAACTCTTGCATAGGGATAGAGCGGACTAAACTAAGTCGAAAAGTCCTCTACAATTTTTGTAGTGATTAACAAGATATCAATTACTAAAAATCACCAAATATTGGTCTTTAATAATTTTTTTTCTCAAGTACTACAACTTTACAGAAAAACAGTAAGAGACAGAAATTGTTTATTTTCTTCTCATAGAGTTATAAAAATTTTCTCAGAATTTTTTATTAACTTTTTAGTACTGCATTTTCTTATTGACAACCATTTTTCCAACATGAAAAAAATACGATACTAAAATATTCTGAAAAAATTCTCAGAACTCTATGAGAAAAAAATAAACAATTTTTCGCAATAAATTTATTAACAGTTTTTATAGATTAACATCTTTATAATATATGATGCTTGATGGTAGCATCAAATTATTAAAATTGCTTGTCAATTTAATTCGCGATTACTAGAGTAGTTTTAATTGCGTTTATTTAGTCCGGAAAAACAATTCGGCGCGCAGTTTGAAAAAGACTACAATATGGTATATATGCAAGTACATATATAGGATATATTAGTAATTCAAGATTGAATTATTTAAAGCAACGAAGATTCAGCTCGGACCGTAATAGGCAGTTACATTATAGTATTAATTGAGTTTCTCAAATATACGGTCAAAATATAAATACATTAAACAATTTTTGCCACTTGCTATTTTTCTGTAAAGTTGATATTACTTGAATAAAAAATTACTGGAAACCAATATTCAGCGATTTTTAGTAATTAATATTTTGGTAACTATTGCGAAAATTGTACAATGATAGAGGACTTTTCGATTCAGTGTAGTCCGCTCTACCTCTATGCGATAATTTTATCGTTACTTATTAAACACTCAGTAACAAATAATAACAGCAACAAATAATAATGTAATCTTCTTACGGACCAAATTCAACAACAAAAAAACTTCAAAACCAGGGCGAATAAGAGTCAGCGTGGTAATTAATACGCAATCTTAATTTTTCAATCCAAAAAATTGATTCTTTATTCCAAAAAATAGTACGTTTTAGTTTACTTTGGAATCATCTTCAGCCAAACAAATTTAAAATATCAATCCCTTCATGTCAAGAAGTATCACTAGAAAAATTTGGAACATATTGTTAGTACATTATTAAGAAATGATTATCCCATTGACTTAATTTTCAATACTATTAATGCACGTTTAAAAATTCTCTTTCATAAAGGTTCGATATAACAGAAAGAATCAAGTGACGAAATCAAGAGGGATTGTACTTCGTGGTTTGTACTGCCTTATGTTCCAAAAATTTCAGACGAGTTTAAAAGAATTAGTAAAACCTTTAATACTAAATTAACTTTTACTAGCTTAAATAAATTAAATAGTTTGATCAAGGGACACAAAGACATTCTTCCAAGAGAAAAAAGAAAAAAATGTGGTTTACAAAATTCCATGTAAATCTTGCGATGTCTCTTATGTCGGACAGACGAAAAGAAAACTAACAACTAGATTGGCTGAGCACCGCAATCATATTAACCGAAATAGTAACAACCAATCAGTGATCACAGAACATCGTATTGAATTTGATCATGACTTCGATTGGGAGAATGTCGCGATTTTAGATGAAAAGCGTTTTCTGAATAAACGGTTAATATCGGAATGTTGATCACAGAACATCGTATTGAATTTGATCATGACTTCGATTGGGAGAATGTCGCGATTTTAGATAAAAAGCGTTTTCTGAATAAACGGTTAATATCGGAATGCCTTCATATATTAATGCAACAAAGTAGTCTGAATTTACGCTCAGATACAGAAGGTGTACA